AAAAGCCTGTATCTAAAAATGAAAAAGGTCTGGGGGTGTATAGCCACTGTGCCTTCATGCCAAATTTCATGTTATTTGGCAAAAAAATGAAGAAACTGAATCCATTTAACAAAATGGCAGGAGGAGAAACATGAGGGGGAACAATACATTTCTCCCATACTACAGTATGGCTGAAATGTAATCAATACAAGCTTATAGAAGTTTTTTTGGGGCATTTCCAGACAAAAGTATACATTTAGGGCTATATTTGGTATTTCACCCAATTATCTGTAATTTGGTTTGGGTGTGTCTTTTGTATAAGAATTTAAAACTGAATAATTTGGGACTTTGGGCTGTTATCGGGACAGAATGTACTACATTTAACAGCCTCCAGTTTAATTACGGACTTCCAGTTTAATTCCGGACAACCTCCCATATCTCAGCAAACCAGAGGTAAAAATGATGTAGGAAATACAGTGTATGTAGCAGCTATTCGCGACCCCCTGGGGGTTTGTCTTATTATGCATAATGCTTTGATGGGTTATGCATAATTATGCATAATAACTGCATTCATAACTGAAGAACTATTATGCATAACCCTTTCTTACATCATTTTGTGCAGTCACTAGTAGCGGGATAAAACTCTTTGAGTACTCTAGCGGACATTTTAGAACACAGCAGTTCTCTTTGGATTAGGCATTGTTCTGCCAGATTCTGCCAGATTTTTTTTCTCTGTTTTCTTGCACAATTTTCCATTGTTTGAAAAGTCTCTTTCAAAATCACCTGTGAAAACTTGTGCGACTGCAAGAAACATTAACCCTGAACCATTTGGGTCAAAATTGCACATTATGACTTGCTGTCTCCACCAAGATGACAAACAAAACGTTGTTAGACAGTCTGTTCTCTAACCTAGTAAACATGATCCTACCATGTTCAATCTGACGTCATTCAAACAGAATGTTGACACTGATTGGTTGCAGTGTTTAAGGCATTTAAACAGTATGGTGTTTAAGCCCCACTGGTTTACCGGTAAACAATTTAATAATCACCACTGGTAATGTTATGGCACCAGTATGAAATGGGGACTTCTGATAAGTCTGATAAGTCAATTTTATCTGGCTATATGATCATCTGGTGTTCAGATACACCATGTTCTTCTTTAGTGTGATTGTTTTCTATTTTGACATTGTCTTTTTTTAACACTCATCATTATTTCAGAATTCACAGATCCCTTTAGATGAGGAGCCAGGGATATTGGAATTTGGTGATGATCGTAGCTTGTCGATCAAAACTGCAGAATTACTGGACAGTGGAATCTATACTTGTGTTGTTACTAATGTTGCTGGCTCAACAAATGTTACCATCTCTCTAAAAGTACAAGGTAAGAAGAAAGTGCATCGCATCAGAAATACATATTACATGACATGTTAGGGAGAAACTTTCCAAAGGCTTTCTTTCCAAGTTTTACAACTTATTTTAAGTTTTAAGAATGAATATACATGTATGTATGTCAGAGCTGTATTGTACCTGCTTCTTCATTGGCCCAAAGGACTTCATGGCAGTCATTACATGTACATGTACATTTCTATTCTGCTTATATTACCTTCTCCCACAAGGTTATGTTTTAGGCCTATTCAGACATGTGTAATTAAGAATAAAAGGAACGATGCCCTATATTTATTATGGAAATGAATTCCTGATTTGTTTAATTGGTTCATTTTGAACTTGATTTAAGGTGAACATCATTTATTTTAATTTAAGTACTTAAGTATAACTTATTCAAATCAAGACCTCATTTGCATACTTTATAAGGAAATGAGAGAATAACATTGTTATTAAAATAAGCTTTTATTAATTAAACGTTAATTCATTCAATAATTGGGTGTAGAATTTGATGAACTTATATAATTTATGCACAGGATATTATTTGCATTACCATTTAAGGTTCCAGGTCAGAGCTTAAATCTGACTGGAGTTCCAAATAGTGTGCAGTAAATTGCCAGATCTGTGTGTCACGCTACCTCAGCGATCGTGATAGATTTTCAGATACATGTAGTTTTTTAATTGACCAATTGTAGTGTTTTTCGGTGTGGTGAAGTTGGTTGGCCAGCGAAGCGTTTTTGGTATTAGTCAGCGAGCTAGGGTGATGGGGTTTTTCACCTGATGACCCAAATAGCTGCGTTCTATGTGGAATTTCAAGGCATTTATTTGTGTCACCGGACAGCTTTGATGTTTTATGCTGAAGGGCGGTTATACCGGCTGCTTCGTACGGCTACAGTAACAGTTGTGTTATGCGGAAGGGTGGTAAAACCGGCTACTTAGTAATACAGAATACAGATAGTGTGGGTGACCAGTTTGTCGAAAAGACACAAACACCTTGCTTTTCAAAATGACCCTAGTATGCCCAGAACATGAGATACAAATTATGCAGTACCAAGGAAAGTAGCCAGGGGGACCAAAATGTAATCATTTCTTTGATAGGTGAAAACAAATCTGACAATTCTTCCATAGCTTCTTGACTTCTGTGCCACATCCAAACATCTATCCATACAGCCAAACAAACACTACCCAAAACATAATCTAATTGATGAAGGTAGTTCCAATTACCAGCATCTCATCCATATGCATATCAAATAATGACTTCATCAACACTGCTACATGTAAATATCAATTTGAAAGAAAAACCATTGCTAACTAGAAAGGCCGACATTTGCTCAGGAGCAAATGCAGCACATGGCTTCACCACATCCCCCATACCAAAATGGACGCATACCCCTCCCGCACAAATGGTCAAAAAGTCAACTACATGTAACGTTATGTACATTATGTTCATTTGAAAAAAGAACATAAATCACTCACTTGTCATGTCTTTTTTCCAGTTATTCCCAGTATATCTGAAGACAAGACTGAGTACACTGTGGTACAAGGTCGGCAGGTTGTGCTGACATGTGATGCTGATGGTGTGCCCTCCCCAACTGTGACCTGGAACAATCGAGGAGAACCTGTAAGTGACAGGCCGGGCATGTCCATCTCAGACACAGGAGCTCTGATCATAAGTTCAGCCAGGCCTGCAGATTCTGGTCCTTACACCTGCACAGCCATCAACCCAGCAGGGGTAGCCTCCAGACAGGTCAACCTGCAGGTGTTTGGTAAGGGTCTTCTGTTACATGTAGATGTAACAGTTAGATGGGCATCTCAAAAATAAGACCTCTGAATTTCAGTGTTTTCTATAACATACATTTGTAATAGTCAGCTGTCTACTTTATTGATAGAAACAGTTGTTCTGGTTAGTACCTGTGCCTTCAGTATTTCATGTTTTATGTACGTTACATGTAGCATAAAAAGATTTCTTCCATTAGTCCCACCATCAGGTACAAATTTCACTGATAATTCAACCAATGAGGTGACAGCAACAGTTGATGACAAAGTCAGTCTACCGTGTGATGTGGACGCCATTCCTCCCCCAGTCTTTGCTTGGATTAAGGATGGACAGGTGTTGTCAGGTCCTCGACATTCCATCTCCTCATCTGGTACACTGAACATTGTGGCAGTTCAAGTGGGTGACAGCGGAAAATATGTGTGTGTGGCAACTAATGAGGCTGGTAACTTCACATTGGACTTGAACCTGATTGTCCAAGGTAAGACAGGTGACAAGCATGGATGGATGCCAGGGATGGGAAAGGGAGTGATGTGAGGCTTTCTTGAAATTTCCAGATTATCAGTTTATAGGAATTCTATTATTCTGTTGGTCTCTTATTTTCTTTACAACTTAGGTGCACAAATTACTGTCTTTCTAAAGGTACTCAATTTGTGAACTTTTGTACATGAGCATGAATGTAGACTTGACTTATTGCATGCAGCATACAATTTCAATTTACTAAAATGTTCACTTCAGGGAATCAGGACGACTCAGACAATTATCAACTCAGCCCATTGCAAATCTGGTCAGCTTGGCCCAACCCCCTGTACAACTCCAGTCTTTGTCAAGGAATGAGCAATCCACCGCTTCCATGACATCACACAGATACAATGTACATGTACATGTAACACGTGGCTCCATGAGCAGGGTCATACTCATAGGTTGCAGAAATTTAAGGCCATGGTGTCCCCCGTCTCTGTTGAGGGATAGTTGTAATGTGTTGATGTAGATGGCCCCTTTAACCCCTCATGCAAAAATGTCCAGTTCTGTGTCCAAGAATCTTACTGTTTCAATGAGACTGAATGTCCAGGCAATGCTACATGTATATTTATATGTTGTGAGACTTCCAAAGTAGTCGAGCTACGGGTATGTCATTTGTGTTCTTAGAACCAAGCCTTTTAAAAATATCTTTCAGTCTCTGCAATATATGAGTGAATGAATGAATGAATGTATTCTATTATTGTGTCTTGCGATGTCACCCAGCTCGTATGGGCTTGTACAATGTAAGACACCAGTACAAAAGTCATATAAACATAAATCCAAGTCAAATCAGGTCATACTGGAGACTTCAAATAAAGAACTTAATACAGTGCTTAAGTGGTAATGTTACATAACATAATTGGTACATGAAGTCAACTCAAAAGTACATAAAGTCAACTCAAAAGTACATAAAGTCAACTCAAAAGCACATGAAGTCAACTCAAAAGTACATTAAGACAACTGAATTTAAACATATGAACACGTACTATATATTTAATTTCAAATTTCCTTCGGTCTTCTGGGGTGGGGGGTTGGGGCACCATAGACTTTCTGCAACCTACAATTGTATGCATCCACTGCTGACGGAGACACGTTTGTTATCTGCGTGATGAGCAGTGGATTGCTCATTCCTTGACAAAGACTGGAGTTGTACAGTTAAAAATTTGGGTACTGTAAATCTTAAAATGATCGTGGTGGTTTTATTTTCGCGGTATTCATGATGACCACTCCATCACGAAGTCATAAGATCGTGAATGTGATTTGTTTTATGTAGTGAGGTGAGTACAGCTGGATAACCAGTCTTTTGGCGCTTAGCCCTCATGGGCATGAATGTGCAAATACTAGAAAACATCAATTTGTCATTGTTTATACTGGCTACAATGAGTGCAGTGGAATGCACACCTGGCACGGATGTTTGTTTACTGGTAAACCCAGATGAAGCCATGCATGCACTTGCTTTACTCATTAAAATACATATTAGGGGAGTCCTAATAAACATGCTATTTGATCCTTCTCTGATGTTGCCATAATAAGCACCATGCCGTTCTTCTGCATTTGACATTAGAAGACAATAGTGGAAGACATGCATCAATAGCAGCATACTGGCCAAAACTGTGTACCATACAATATACTATACAATGCCACAATAAGAGGTATATTGAAACCAAGAGTAAAGGCACTGATGCCACTGTAAATGTACTGCCGTACTTAAGTATTGTTTCGACCGTGAACTTTAAACACTGCAAGAATATCCTTTCCTTTCCTAACGCAAAATTTATCCCCGCGAACATAAATGAACTTACAGTAAGTCCAATTTCTTGTGTTGATATTGCAGTTCAAACTTGTTTCATAATGACTTCTACCAACACAGATTCTAAGTCTTCCAATACTTACCTTCATGTTTTCAGCCATTCCCAGTATATCTGGAGACAAGACTGAGTACACTGTGGTACAAGGTCGGCAGGTTGTGCTGACATGTGATGCTGATGGTGTGCCCTCCCCAACTGTGACCTGGAACAATCGAGGAGAACCTGTAAGTGACAGGCCGGGCATGTCCATCTCAGACACAGGAGCTCTGATCATAAGTTCAGCCAGGCCTGCAGATTCTGGTCCTTACACCTGCACAGCCATCAACCCAGCAGGGGTAGCCTCCAGACAGGTCAACCTGCAGGTGTTTGGTAAGGGTCTGCTATTTACCTTGTTGTACTTGTAGAAAGATATCTCACATGCTTATTACAACAAGGAGAAGCAAATCAATAAGTCCAGAGGCAAGTAGCCGAATGCTTGTCCAATGCTGACAGATCTAGAGAAGATCACCTTAGTTCTACGTTATATGATGTTAAGGTTACATTTGGTTCACTTACTAAGGTAGTATGATATTACGTACATGTATCATGTATGTTATTTAAGTTACTTCGGTTTTGTCTCAATTAGTAAGTTGTATTTGTAACTTAATTTGTTACTTTTGTTGTAATTTGGACTGAGTTGATTTTGATGTAAATGGCTCTATTTGGGGTTTTCCCCCCAGGGCACATTGAAAAGCACATTCAGGTGATAAGTATCCCCAGGTGAAGTGAATAAAACAAACAAACATTGGATCATTTGGGGTGTATTCAATATTCTAAATCTTAAAGTTTCCATTCAGTTTGACACTTGAACTAATATTTAATATGGTCACATTTTTCTTTACATTCAACTGTTTGTGAACAATGCAAAAGCCAGTCAAGTGAAGTCCATTTTTTGGTAGCCTACATTGTAGCAAATATCACCAGCCACAGGTGCTGTTTTTGTTCAGTCACCAGCCACAGGTGCTGTTTTTGTTCAGTCACCAGCCACAGGTGCTGTCTTTGTTCAGTCAAAATTTGCAAATTAGTACAGAAACCTGGGAGGTGCAACATACAATGTACAAAACACTGACACAGTTGAAACACTAGCTTATAAAAATTATCAGCTATGTGTTGGAAAGTACATTCTGCAG